TACGCACAAATATATATTTATGTATTTATTTATTTAGACGTTGCATTTCTCAGTGTTGCTCGCACACATTTTTCACACATTTTATTGGCCGCTTTCGGCCGTTGAGTGTACAATTTTGGTTTTGTTTATTTACTTGGCCATTTAATTCGGGTGATCCACATACAAATAGTGCGAGTACACCCACGTGCACACACTTACGCATTTATACTTATACATATATGTATGTATGTATGCACATTCAAATCCTTGGCACATATATAATAGCGACAGAGACCCCATTTATACAAAACAATAAATCATAAATGCGATAATGCCCATTTATCAAATCGCTACCCACTAAATGGGCGCGTCGATGAAAAACACTTGAACCAAAACAATTTAAACACTGGCCCTAATTGATACTGGGAGAATACGAAAAACTAGCTTTTATTTCAAAATAATGATTAAATGAAAAGAAAAGAATTTTTATATGATATGTAATGTATATAGAGTATACAATACAATACAAAAATAAATATAATTTTTATAAAGTTATGATCTTATGATCATCACCATCTGCGCTTCACTAGACTCATACTATATGTTATACATTGTGTATACACATAAGTATGTATGTAACACGCTTTAACACTAATTTGCAATGCGATGCACCAAATGCCAATAAAATAGACTTGTCTAAACGAACCGACTAACCCGACGGATTGTCTGTTTATATAGCAGCTACTCGACGCATGATCCATTTGTATGTTAGATTTATCACAGTTGCCCCCAATTTGATTGGCATTCACTCAATTGATTTATATGATATCATTTATTAGCTCGTTTCATGCAACAAAATATCTATTGCTTGATAGACAATTTGTTTATGGCAAGCAAAGCACTTTGGAAAGAAACAAAAACAATAGCAAAATGAAAACTACGCGCGGTTACAGGCGCCCAGAACTAATGGACACACGATCGTGACGGACTTTGACGATCGACTGTTTGGTAACTTAGTTCTTAATCACTTCAAGAAGCACGTCAAATTGAAACTTGCTGATATGGCCAGTATATGTATATATATAAAATTATAT